TGAGGCGTAGCGTCTTGAGTCTTGGATATTTCCCATGGAAATGATGCAAAAGACTGATTCAATAAATTAGACTATTGCTAGTAAAAGCCAACGCAAAATTATTGGTTTTTTTCAATTCAATATAATATCTATGGTAAAAAATAATGATTAAATAATTACAGTCGCAATAAAATGTTATAGTATAGAAATAGGAAAAAAGGCATGTAAAATTAAAAAACACCATTGGGATCAAAACTAGAAGTATTTTTGTTGTTGTTACAAATGATAAATAAAATTTCTTAATTCTTTTTAAATGACTAGGCCTATTACATAGCTGGATTTTTAATGTTGACGTCTAATTATAATTATAGTATAAAAATTAAATACATAAATTCGAACATGATACAACTTAATTTTCTTTCTGAGTGTAATTAAAGGAATACATAGGCCTGCTAGATGAGTTACCGTATAAAACATAAAAATAACGGCTATAATTTTATCTGTGAAATTGGACGGGCATACTCACCGTACTTGCATAAAATAAATGCATGCATTATTTATTGCGCCATTTACATAGAGCTATTTCGTGAAGATAAAGACTATGAAAGATAAAAATAGGCCCAAGACTTTGCAAGGCTATATAAAATTATAAGTTAGCATTTGAATTTGGATAAATGTATTTCTAAACTAAGCAAGACAAATACGTGCAGTAGATTTGCTAGATTAGTGTATGCTGTTGATTTGATGACAACTAAACGAATAAAAAATTAAAGATCAATTTTAGGTCCCGTTTATACTTACGGAATAAAACTGGCCTTGAGCACCGGCTATCAATAATTTTAAATAGTGTAAGCAGCGTAAGTTGGTGCATCGCTGGAACAACCAAGTTCCGCTCGGAGGCGACCCGAGGCCGGCATCTTCAGTGTAAACGGAGCTTTATGTGTCAACAAGTAGGCCATATACAAAAACCAAGAGTTAATCCTCTTCTCCCACCTTTTATAGTCTCCATAGTTTGTTTTTTTTAAATTGTGTAGATAGTTTGTGAAAAACTCGTTCGTACTTTCACAATTCGATCATTGTCCATGTCCAGCACATTTAAAGCCCTGTCCAGACTATTTCGGACAAAAACATATGACATGCCTAAATATGGTCATGATGACATCACATGATGACCATATATAGGCACATCATGACTATATATGGGCATGCAACAGTATTTTGGCAAAGAAAATTTGATAGTACGTGGACAGAGCTTTATAACAGTGCTCAAGTGTGAACATAGTAGCTTATGGCCATTTTTTATTTCAAAAAGACGTTGAAGAGAGCAGCTATAGCTCTGTCGGCTGAAGTGGTACAAGCCACTGTGTGTGCGATCCATGGAGATCTCTTGGTCCCCGGTTCATTTCCCATCGCTGCTCGCCTTGTGTTTCAGCTAGAGGGCTGAAATGCAAGTTTAAAAAGCGCACTGTCTTTTGGATGAGATGTTTAAGTCGTTGGTCGCGTGTGAAAAACGGCTCATGTGCATATTAAAGAACGCAGTGCACTATTTGGAAAAGAATAGGTGATTGTCACTCGGTATATTGCCCAATCACCACCAGAAGGACCCCACTGGAAATAAGTCTTCTTTCGTGGGTTATCCTTAGTGTTCACACCGAATAAATCGAATCCTATCCTCCGTAATTACACATCTGCGTCCAGGAAAATGTCAAATTAAATAGGGCATCATCAACTGTTGTTTTTTAATTGCCTTATTCGGTAACAATCGTTAAATATATAATTAGGTCATTCAACACTCACTTATATTGATTATTAGTATTTCAAACACAAAGAGATAAAGTTTAATGAAATAACCTGCAGTTTGATAACTCTATCAACATTGACTTCAATGACTGATTACAGGTTTATATCCGTATAACCATTTCCGATATATTTTTTAATACATACACAGTTATCCCAGCCAGACTGTTAGGCACGTCTAACTAGCTAACGACAACATGTTTTATTTATGATTATTGATATTTACCTGTATATAGGCCTACAAGTTCATGTCGTATATTACAAGTTCTCTGACTCACACTCGCCCTGTCATAATGTATCTATCACGCAAGCCGTAAATATAGGTCATTTATGTACAGTAGTTAGATAGATTTTAAAAATTCTATAGCGCAGATTAATACAATTTGTTGTCACTAGCGCTTTAGAACAAAGGAAAAACAAACAAGTATATGTATTTAAATCTCTATAATAATAATAATAATAATAATAACAACAACAATAACAATATAATAAAATAAGATCAAATAATAATAGTATATCATCAAATAACAATAAAATGATAATCATTAAAAATGATAATAAAATAATAACAAATAATTTTTAATAATTGAGTCGTGATTGAAGTTAAAACATAAACTATGGAGGAAAAGCAAGAGAAAAGGGAAAAGATTTGAGGTGAGACTTAAATCCGAAATTGATCTAGTGGCAGGTGAAAGTGAGTTCCAAAGTTTAGGTGGAAGAAAAGAAAATGAGCGTTGG